TTAAGTGGTGATAGATTTACGGGATAGTCTTTGAAACGTAGGCATCTGTTGATCAGAAAATGGATTCATTTCGTCTCTCGTTTTGTAAAGTAGCGTGCGTGAGTGGTTTTGTTATTGTTTATAGTTCTTTTTATCCAGAGTCACCATTATGGGATTGACAGATAAGGAAACGTGAAGGCAATTATGGATCACCGCAGTATCACCATCGTAACATTGACGACTTTTTAACGCTTTGCAATTTTAAGTAATCTGTTAAATAAATTTTATTTTATAAATCAATCTTAATCACATAAATTTAATAGAAAACATGTACCTATAGATGCAAGTATTCTAATCTGTTAAAAAAGGCTGTGCACGAATAAGTATTACAGAATTCAGGAAAATAAATATTATTATCATTATATTTTTGTCAGTTCTTTTCAAATATTTAAGTCTACGTAACTATACTTCGTTGGATTTCCAGTTAAAGGGAAAGTGAAATAAGTTTTAACGGCAAATAATTGAACGCTGACATTTAAGGATGAATAATGTTCTAAATTCCAAAATAATAACTTACTTATAATGAAAATCTTGGTTTCTTTGGGTTGTTGCAGAAGGAAGGATCTTGATAAAAATTTAAACCGGGTACTTTTGGGAGTACCGCGATCTTTTGGGAAGACTGAATGGTGGGTCGATCTTCAGGAACTTTTTGCTAGATTCGATTAAAATTGCAAGCCTCGTACTTCGCCTTCCAGGGTTTCCTCTTCTCCTCTGAACCTGAGGTTGTTGAGGAACAGGTGGCACTGGAAGCGCTTGCACTGGAGGCACTTGCACAGGTGGTGATGCTGGTGGGGGTGGTGATGCTGGTGGGGGTGTATATGCAGGTGGGGGTGTAGATGGAGGAGAAATAGGTGTTGGGGGTCCAACGGGTGATGGTGAGGGTGGGGAAGGCTGGAGGACAGTCGGTGGTGAAGGCTGTTTAACAGGCGTTAGATCCACGGTTCCAGAAGTAGATGGTGTTACTTCCTCAGCTTCAATCGGAAAGGTGTTATTTAAGCTGTCACGGATGGATCTTCTGAGCCCGGAGCTGCTCTCTTCTATATCAGCATCTATGAGACCTTGCGACACCCTGTCGATGAATCTTGATGCCAGCATCACCATGGTCTCATTTGCCAGGGATGTCGCAAGTAAGCTTGCTTCGTCTATCATTC